CTTAATCTTAGCGGCGAGAGGGGAGGGGGTGGCGGGTGAGGGTTGTGGGTGAGGGTTGTTGGTGAGGGTTGTGGGTGAGGGTTGTGGGTGAGGGTTGTGGGTGAGGGTTGTGGGTGAGGGTTGGGTGAGGGTTGTGGGTGAGGGTTGTGGTGAGGGTTGTGGGTGAGGGTTGTGGGTGAGGGTTGTGCGTGAGGGTTGCGTGAGAGTTGCGGGTGAGGGTGGTGGTGAGGGTTGGGGGTGAGGGTTGTGGTGAGGGTTGGGGGTGAGGGTTGTGCGTGAGGGTTGCGTGAGGGTTGCGGTTGAGGGTTGTGCGTGAGGGTTGCGTGAGAGTTGCGGGTGAGGGTTGTGCGTGAGGGTTGCGTGAGGGTTGCGGGTGAGGGTTGTGCGTGAGGGTTGCGTGAGAGTTGCGGGTGAGGGTTGTGCGTGAGGGTTGCGTGAGGGTTGCGGGTGAGGGTTGTGCGTGAGGGTTGCGTGAGGGTTGCGGGTGAGGGTTGTGCGTGAGGGTTGCGTGAGAGTTGTGCGTGAGGGTTGCATGAGGGTTGTGCGTGAGGGTTGCGTGAGGTTTGTGGGTGAGGGTTGTGGGTGAGGGTTGTGCGTGAGGGTTGTGGGTGAGGGTTGCGTGAGGGTTGCGGATGAGGGTTGTGGGTGAGGGTTGCGTGAGAGTTAGGGGTTAATTCAATCAAAAAAGTAACTAGCGCTGCCACACCTATCGCCATCATCAGGGGAAAGATCGGTGATCCGATCTCCGACCCCCCAGGAACAGGTTCGCAGACCTGCTGAGCATTTCTTTGGGGTCCTGGGGGAGGGGAAATCGCTCAGCCCAGCCGCATGAGTCACAGTCCTAAACCTCGCCCATTTCCTCTCGGCATCAGGAGGAGTGAGGGACGATGCCAACCCCAGCCGCAAACGACGATGAAATTGTTGCTTGCAACTTTCATCCGCTAGCTGAGACCAGGTCACATTAGGTTGGAATGGGGTCCTGGGTTTACACCCACCACCGGAGTGGAAGAATGGCAGGCGCATCTTACAGATGACTAGATGATGGTCAGAGGGCAGATCAGCTCCACGGTAGGTCCTGGTGTCAAGGACATGGGCCCGCACCCGCTGTTCCATCACTACGTAGTCCAGCAGATGTTCTTGCTTGGACCCGGCGTGCATCCATAATGTTGTGTGGATGCATCGATGCCGGGAACAGCGTGTTGGTAATTACAAGCCCATGGGCTGCACAAAAATCTAGCAGCCTCCTACCGTTGTTATTGAGCTGATCTGGCCTATGCCTTCCAATCACTCCAGACCAGGTGCCAGCATCATGACCAACTCGGGCATTGAAGTCACCCAACAAGATGACTCTATTCCGAGTGGCCACTTTAGCCAGCACCTGTGACAGGAGGTCATAGAAGGCATCTGACTCATCGGCCTTGCCTGCATCCCTCCACGGATGTTTGTCTTCGGCGGAGGCATAAGCAACCGCGACCACCACTCCTCACCTCTGGATGATGGGAAGGCGAGCCCAAAGTAGCCTGGGGTTTACAGCTTCCCACACCTCACCGCCACGCTCCCACGCCCCCTTCATTCTTTTGTTCAAAAGAAGAGCCACACCCTGTTGTTTGGCAGTCTCCTGCCCCGAGTAGAGGACTGTCCACCCCTCATGGTGGCAGGAGCCAAAACCGGTCCACCGGACCTCCTGAATGCCACAGAGATCCAGGCGGTACCGGTCCATCTCCCGACAAAGGAGTGGCAGCCTCTCCTCCGCAGTGAGCGTTCGAACATTCCACGTGGCCATCCGCAATGGTTTTTTGTTGTTTCTGGAGGAGCCCCGAGGGTGAAGATTCAATCTCCTGGCTCCGCCAATTGGGGTTTGGCCAGGAGACGTCATAGACGCCTGTCCCCCCGGGGCCTCCGGCACAAGCTTATTAGTTACAGGTTTATGTTTAAGTCGTCTTTTAGTGGTAATTTATTGAGGGTGGAGGGGTTACCAGCCCCTCGCACCCGTCCAAAGCCCCCGTTTAGCCACTGTGGTGGTCACAGACGCCATGAGGGGAGAGGGCCAATGAGGCATTGGCCCTCCCCCCCCCACAGCACTGTCCACGACAGCGTTGCCCATCCAGCACCGCGAGGAGGTAGCAGGTTGTTTTGCCGGACAACGTACACACGCAGTACACACACGTACACACGTACACACACAACAACAACAACAACCGCCATTCGCCACTAAGTGGTGGTGACGTCACCACGACGCTTGTGCCAGGCCAAGTGCACCTTGAGGCCACCACGTGAAGTGTCGAACGCCCGCTGGCAGGAGGTCACGGGGCAGACCCAGCAGGTGCCACGGGTCGACTGACCGAGATGACTGAGATGACTGGCTGATGCACCACCTGTGCCCCTTACTGTACCAACTTGCTGTGCTTTAGCCACCCGGCACTCCGCTCGTTGTTGTGAGCGTCGCTCTTCCACCCTCCGTTGTTGCTGGAGGGCGACTGCCTCCAACTGCCCAGTAGCGTCTTTCACGAGCCTCCTCCACAGAGGCCGATCTTGACACCGCTGGTACCAGTCACCGGCAAGTCCACTCAGCTCCACGTCCTCCTGTACCACATCACTCCATCTCTTCTCCAGCCCGTGCCGCGCCCGTTTAGCCCCCTCGATCCGGCCGAACAAAAGCTGTTTAGGCATGCGGTGGCTGGGCATGCGGGCGACATGACCCAGCCAACGCAGCCTTGCCTGCCGGAGGAGCTCACCGATGGGACTTTGCCCAGATCTTTCAAGGATTTGTGAGCTCCTCACACAATCCAGCCTGCAGGTTAAACCCAGGATGGATCGTAGGCAGGCCAGCCTAAAAGTTTCTAACCGGCGACGATGCTCCATTAGGGGGGTCCACACACACACGTACACACACGCGCATGTACACTCACGCACGTACACACACACGTATGCAGGTACACACACACACACGTGCCCCCCCCGTACTCACCTGCCGCGCCTGCCGCCGCAGCTTGCGCACCAGGTAGACGAGCGACAGCACGAGGGCCCCGTGGACGACCGCGGACAGGTAGAGGCCGCCGTGGGACGCCAGGGCCCCAGCGCACGCCGGCAGGCAGTCTCGCAGCGCCTCCTCCATCGACAGCAGCGACACCACGCGGCCCGCCAGCGGAGGCGGCCCCGCGCACCTCTCGGCCCGCCGCGGGTCCACCCGCCGCTGGTCGGCCTGCTTGGCGAGCCACGAACGCAGGTACCAGATGCCGCAGTCGCAGCGCCACGGGTTGGCGGGCTGGGCATGGAACTCGACGGTTCGGAGGTGCCGGAGGCCGTCGAAGGCGCCGTCGGCGATGCGCTCGAGGCTGGTGTTGACGAAGACGATCATCTCGATGTGGGTATCGGGGTCGTTGTCGTTGAACTTGGAGTTGGCGGAGAATCGTTGGAAGCATTCGACGACGCTTTGGTCGGGTTTGGTGCGGTTGCAGCCGTCGGGGAGGCCGCTGGCTGAGGCCTGGGCTACCTTGGAGGCCACCAGCAGCGTCACCAGCAGCGCCGGGAGCAGCACCGGAGGGGCGGAGGGGGGGCGCCGGGAGGAAGTCATCGGCGAGGCGGATCGCGAAGGTCGGAGAGACGAAGGGGGTGGCGGGGTGACCTACTATGGAGGATGTTGGTGCACAGAGACACAGAGAGATGATACATTACACTATACACGACACTATACACTATTATACACTACACTACTATACACTACACTATACACTACACACTACTATACACTACACTATACACTACACTATACACTACACTACAAACTACACTATACACTACACTACACACTACACTACACACTATACACTACACTACATACTACACTACACACTATACACTACACTACACACTACACTACACACTATACACTACACTACACACTACACTACACTACACACTATACACTACACTACATACTACACTACACACTATACACTACACTACACACTACACTACACACTATACACTACACTACACACTACACTACACTACACACTATACACTACACTACATACTACACTACACACTATACACTACACTACACACTACACTACACACTATACACTACACTACACACTACACTACACACTACACATATCAATGTGTAGAGTACTTCTCGGAGGCAATAACTTTCAGAGGCGACGCATGTTCCTAATGATTAACGTTCGTTTATAATCAACATGATTAACAATGAACAAGATTGTAATCAACATGATTACAATCATCACCAACACACTTATCACGCCCACAGGCAACGTGGAAGTTGCGGTTTGAAAATTTTTTTTACCTAAAATGTTTTTACTTTAACCTTTCGCGACTGCAGAAATTCAGTTACGTAGATATAAAAATACAATAAAAATACAATAAAAATACACTAAAAATACACTAAAAATATTCAAAAAATACAATAGAAATACACTAAAAATATAATAAAAATACAATTAAAATATATTTAAAATACAATAAAAAATACAATAAAAATACACTTAAAATACACTAAAAATACACTAAAATACAATAAAAATATTTTTAAAATACAATTAAAATACACTAAAACATAATAAAAATACAATAAAAATACACTTAAAATACACTAAAAATACACTAAAATACAATAAAAATATTTTTAAAATACAATTAAAATACACTAAAACATAATAAAAATACAATAAAAATACACTTAAAATACACTAAAAATACACTAAAATACAATGAAAATATTTTTAAAATACAATACAAATACACTAAAAATACAATAAAAATATTCCAAAAATACAATTAAAATACACTAAAACATAATAAAAATACAATAGAAATACACTAAAAATACACTAAAATACAATAAAAATACACTAAAATACAATACAAATATTTTTAAATACAATGAAAATACACCAAAAATAGAATAAAAATATTCCAAAAATACAATTAATATACACTAAAAATACAATAAAAATACGCAAAAAATACATCCAGACATCCACCCTGCGTCCTTCCCTGTGGAAGAGGTATGTGGATGACACTTTCGTCATCTGGCCACATGGCCTCCCAGCATTGAACCACTTCTTGGACCACATCAATTCCAGACACCCATCCATCAGATTCACCATGAAAGTGGAGAAAGACGGTAAACTACCATTCTTAGATATTCTGTTTGAGAGGAGGCCTGACGGATCCTTGGGACATTCTGTCTACAGGAAAGCCACCCACACAGATTCCTACTTGAAACCGGATTCTCACCACCACCCATCTCAAAAGAATTCCCTCATCAAAACGCTATACCACAGAGCTCATGGCATTTCTGACCAACACCACCTGGCCGTGAATTGAGACACGTACATCGGGCCCTCAAGATGAACGGATACTCTGACCGCACCATCCGCCAAGCTGTCTCTCCCACCGCACAGAAACAGCCACATGAAACTCCGATCAAAACCATCACGTTGCCATACATAGCAGGCGTGACCAAAAAGATCTGCAAAATTCTTAACAAACATAAGATCCAAGTCCGATTCAGTACAGTACATAAAATCCGTGATCTAATTCCATCTGTGAAGGATGTCGTTCCTGACTTGCAATACCCTGGAGTCTATAAACTGAGTTGCATCCGTGGTGACTGCTACATTGGGGAAACGAAACGTCACGTCTCTGATCGTGTCTGCGAGCACAAGTCAGATCTGAAACACGGAAAAATGGAGTCGTCCGCCGTTGCCGATCATTGCTACAACTCGGTGGGCTCTCATGAGATTGTTTTTCTCTGAGACTAAGGTGCTCTGCAAACCCTCTGGCTACCATCAAAGGTTTGTACACGAAGCCATTCAGATATACAAACACAGACATCATTTCAACCGTGATGATGATGGGTACAAAACTTAGTAATCATTGGAAAGATGTTATCAACCACGCAAAAAAGATTCAATTACACATTTTTGGACCATCTTATCTGACAGGCACTACTTTGTACTTTACCGAGTGTTAACATCCCTAACGTTTAGCAGTACTCTCTTTATTGTCAGCCAACACCGGTATAAATATGGGCATTTCCGCTCCTTTTCTATCATGTACATCCACAGGTACTTGTGCACAGACAGCATAACAAAGAGCGGCGTAATCGTATCCCCCTTCAACCACTATATAAGGTATATAAGATACAGATGTTTTGCTGTGACGGTTTCACCTGAAGACGGAAGCTTGTGTTGCCTCCGAAACGTCGTGATTTTTATTTTTTTTATTTTAATTTAATTTTTTACCTACGTGACTTTACCGAAAGAACTACGAGTACAATAAAATACACTAAAAATACACTAAAATATAATAAAAATACAAAAAAATACACTAAAATACAATAAAAATACGCTAAAAATAGAATGAAAATACAACAAAAATACACTAAAAATACAATAAAAATACAATAAATAATAATAGAAATACAATAAAAATACAAAAAGAATACATTAGAAATACAATAAAAATACAAAAAAAATAATAATAGAAAATGAATTCGAAATTAAACATTTAGGTGCGTTTTGCGTTTTTATTACGTATTTTTTTATTTTATTGTCTATCTTCGTGACTTTACCGAAAGAACCAAAGAATATTTATTTTCTATTTTTAAAACTTTTTTTGTTACCGGGGTTAGAAGGGAGGTGGAGGAGGATGTGGATGGAGGTGGTGATGACGGTGATGGTGGCGATGGTGGCGATGATGGTGGTGATGGTGATGGTGGTGATGGTGATGAGGATGAGGGTGATGATGGTGGTGGTGATGGTGGTGGTGATGATGGTGGTGGTGATGATGGTGGTGGTGATGGTGGTGGTGATGTTGGTGGTGATGATGGTGGTGGTGATGATGGTGGTGATGATGGGGGTGGTGGTGATGGTGGTGGTGATGGTGGTGGTGATGTTGGTGGTGGTGATGGTGGTGATGATGGTGGTGGGGGTGATGATGGGGGTGGTGGTGATGGTGATGGTGATGTTGGTGGTGGTGATGGTGGTGATGATGGTGGTGGTGGTGATGATGGTGGTGATGATAGTGGTGATGGTGATGATGGTGGTGGGGGTGATGATGGCGGGGTTGATGGTGGTGGTGTTGGTGGTGGCGATGATGGTGGTGATGACGATGATGGTGGTGATGGTGGTGATGATGGCGGGGTTGATGGTGGTGATGTTGGTGGTGGCGATGATGGTGGTGATGACGATGATGGTGGTGATGGTGGTGATGATGGTGATGATGATGGTGATGATGGTGGTGATGACGATGATGATGGTGGTGATGATGGTGTTGATGATGATGGTGATGATGATGGTGGTGATGATGAATTATGATAAAGATGACGCCGTGTATCAATTCTAAGACTCTAACCCACCTACCCTTTGACTATTTCGATCAATTCGCGTCCGTAGAAAACAACGGCGGATCGCGACGTTCCAATCTCCACGCACGCCACCGTCTTCAGGCGAAGCCGACTGAAGCTCCAACCTGCCAGAAGCGAAGTGACCGGCGATATGAGAACCACAAGCGATAAAAAAAACTCCAACACCTAAAGGCCTCCCTCCCCCAAACGTTGTCACGGAATTATTCAAAACGTTGCCTGGACGTCACCGGGGCGTCGGGGAGATGTTGACTACCTCGCCTGGTCTACAGGAGGTCTCGTGGAATCGATATCCTGCAATGGTGACTACCTCGCCTGGTCTACAGGAGGTCTCGATATCCTGAGATGTTGACTACCTCGCCTGGTCTACAGGAGGTCTCGTGGGATCGATATCCTGAGATGTTGACTCCCTCGCCTGGTCTACAGGAGGTCTCGATATCCTGAGATGTTGACTACCTCGCCTGGTCTACAGGAGGTCTCGATATCCTGAGATGTTGACTACCTCACCTCGTCTACAGGAGGTCTCGTGGAATCGATATCCTGCAATGTTGACTACCTCGCCTGGTCTACAGGAGGTCTCGATATCCTGAGATGTTGACTACCTCGCCTGGTCTACAGGAGGTCTCGTGGGATCGATATCCTGAGATGTTGACTCCCTCGCCTGGTCTACAGGAGGTCTCGATATCCTGAGATGTTGACTACCTCGCCTGGTCTACAGGAGGTCTCGATATCCTGAGATGTTGATTACCTCGCCTGGTCTACAGGAGGTCTCGTGGAATCGATATCCTGCAATGGTGACTACCTCGCCTGGTCTACATGAGGTCTCGTGGGATCGATATCCTGGAGGGAGATGTCTCTGCATCGCTATGGGTCTCTATACGTCTCTTGATCTTACTGCAACTCGTTGGGTCTCTCTGTGGGTCTCTATGAGTGTCTGTAGGTCTCTCTGTGGGTCTCTATGAGTGTCTGTGGGTCTCTCTGTGGGTCTCTATGAGTGTCTGTGGGTCTCTGTGGGTTTCTATGAGTCTCTTGATCTCTCTGCAACTCGCTGTCTCTTTGTGACTCTACTGAGACACTGACACACAGACACACTGAGACAGACACACACAGACACACACAGACACACCGAGACACACACTGAGACACACAGACACATTGAGACACACTGACACACACAGAGACACACTGACACACACACAGACACACACTGAGACACTGAGACACAGACACACTGAGACAGACACACACAGACACACACAGACACACCGAGACACACACTGAGACACACAGACACATTGAGACACACTGACACACACAGAGACACACTGACACACACAGACACACTGACACACACACAGACACACACTGAGACACAGACACACACAGAGACACTGACACACAGACACACTGAGACAGACACACACAGACACACACAGACACACCGAGACACACACTGAGACACACAGACACATTGAGACACACTGACACACACAGAGACACACTGACACACACACAGACACACACTGAGACACTGAGACACAGACACACTGAGACAGACACACACAGACACACACAGACACACCGAGACACACACTGAGACACACAGACACATTGAGACACACTGACACACACAGAGACACACTGACACACACAGACACACTGACACACACACAGACACACACTGAGACACAGACACACACAGAGACACTGAGACACAGACACACTGAGACAGACACACACAGACACACACAGACACACCGAGACACACACTGAGACACACAGACACATTGAGACACACTGACACACACAGAGACACACTGACACACACAGACACACTGACACACACACAGACACACACTGAGACACAGACACACACAGAGACACTGAGACACAGACACACACAGAGACACTGAGACACAGACACACACACAGACACACATTGAGACACACAGACACATTGAGACACACTGACACACACAGACACTGACACACAGACACACACTGAGACACACAGACACATTGAGACACACACAGACACACACTGAGACATGGGAGGCTCCAGGTTTATTGAACAACATCGGGATCTTACAGCACGAACATCAAAGGGTGAGCGTCTGGGTGAGCGTCTGGGTGAGCGTCTGGGTGAGCGGGCGAGCGGGTTATCAGGCTAGAGCGTGTGAGTGAGCGGACGAACAGGTGAGTGAGCGGGTGAGTGAGCGGGCGAGCGGGTGGGCGACCGGGTGGGCGAGTGAGTGAACGGGTGAGCGAGCGTGTGAGCGGGTGGGTGAGCGAGTGGGTGATTTGGTGAGTGGGTGATTTGATGAGTGGGTGGGTGAGTGGGTGGGTGAGCGTGTGAGCGAGCGGGTGAGTGAGTGGGTGATTTGGTGAGTGGGTGGGTGAGTGGGTGGGTGAGCGTGTGAGCGAGTGGGTGAGCGAGTGGGTGATTTGATGAGTGGGTGATTTGATGAGTGGGTGGGTGAGTGGGTGGGTGAGCGTGTGAGCGAGTGGGTGAGCGAGTGGGTGATTTGGTGAGTGGGTGATTTGATGAGTGGGTGGGTGAGTGGGTGGGTGAGCGTGTGAGCGAGCGGGTGAGTGAGTGGGTGATTTGGTGAGTGGGTGATTTGATGAGTGGGTGGGTGAGTGGGTGGGTGAGCGTGTGAGCGAGTGGGTGAGCGAGTGGGTGAGTGAGCGAGTGAGTGAGCATGTGAGCGAGTGGGTGAGCGGGTGAGTGAGTGAACGGGTGAGCGTGTGAGCGAGTGGGTGAGTGAGTGGGCGAGCGAGTGGGTGATTTGGTGAGTGGGTGGGTGAGTGGGTGAGTGAGTGAGTGAGTGGGCGAGCGAGTGGGTGATTTGGTGAGTGGGTGGGTGAGTGGGTGAGCGGGTGAGTGAGTGAACGGGTGAGCGTGTGAGCGAGTGGGTGAGTGAGTGAGTGGGTGAGCGAGTGGGTGATTTGGTGAGTGGGTGGGTGAGTGGGTGAGTGAGTGGGCGAGCGAGTGGGTGATTTGGTGAGTGGGTGGGTGAGTGGGTGAGCGGGTGAGTGAGTGAACGGGTGAGCGTGTGAGCGAGTGGGTGAGTGAGTGAGTGGGCGAGCGAGTGGGTGATTTGGTGAGTGGGTGGGTGAGTGGGTGAGTGAGTGAGTGAGTGGGCGAGCGAGTGGGTGATTTGGTGAGTGGGTGGGTGAGTGGGTGAGCGGGTGAGTGAGTGAACGGGTGAGCGTGTGAGCGAGTGGGTGAGTGAGTGAGTGGGTGAGTGAGTGGGTGATTTGGTGAGTGGGTGGGTGAGTGGGTGAGTGAGTGGGTTCGATCAATTCGCGTCCGTAGAAAACACAAGGGCGGATCGCGACGTTCCAATCTCCACGCACGCCACCGTCTTCAGGCGAAGCCGCCTGAGGCTCCAACCTGCCAGAAGCGAAGTGACCGGCGATATGAGAACCACAAGCGATAAAAAAAACTCCAACACCTAAAGGCCTCCCTCCCTCCCCCAAACTTCATCACAGAATTATTCAAAACGTTGCCTGGACGTCACCGGGGCGTCGGGGAGATGTTGACTACCTCGCCTGGTCTACAGGAGGTCTCGATATCCTGAGATGTTGACTACCTCGCCTGGTCTACAGGAGGTCTCGATATCCTGAGATGTTGACTACCTCACCTCGTCTACAGGAGGTCTCGTGGAATCGATATCCTGCAATGTTGACTACCTCGCCTGGTCTACAGGAGGTCTCGATATCCTGAGATGTTGACTACCTCGCCTGGTCTACAGGAGGTCTCGTGGGATCGATATCCTGAGATGTTGACTCCCTCGCCTGGTCTACAGGAGGTCTCGATATCCTGAGATGTTGACTACCTCGCCTGGTCTACAGGAGGTCTCGATATCCTGAGATGTTGACTACCTCGCCTGGTCTACAGGAGGTCTCGTGGGATCGATATCCTGAGATGTTGACTCCCTCGCCTGGTCTACAGGAGGTCTCGATATCCTGAGATGTTGACTACCTCGCCTGGTCTACAGGAGGTCGTGGGTTCGATTAGCCTGAGAGATGTTGACTACCTCGCCTGGTATACAGGTTTCGTGGGATCGATATCCTGGAGGGAGATGCCTCTGCATCGCTATGGGTCTCTATGAGTCTCTGCAGATCTCTGTGGGTCTCTGTGAGTCTCTGTGGGTCTCTGTGAGTCTCTGTGGGTCTCTATGAGTCTCTGAAGGTCTCTGTGGGTTTCTGTGAGTCTCTCTGAGTCTCTGTAGGTCTCTATGAGTCTCTGTAGGTCTCTATGAGTCTCTGTAGGTCTCTGTGGGTCTCTACGAGTCTCTGTGGGTCTCTATGAGTCTCTGTATGTCTCTGTGAGGCTCTGTAGGTCTCTGTGGGTGTCTATGAGTCTCTGTAGGTATATGTGGGTCTCTATTAATCTCTGTGGGTCTCTATGAGTCTCTGTAGGTCTCTATGAGTCTCTGTAGGTCTCTGTGGGTGTCTATGAGTCTCTGTAGGTATATGTGGGTCTCTATTAATCTCTGTGGGTCTCTATGAGTCTCTGTAGGTCTCTATGAGCCTCTGTAGATCTCTGTGGGTGTCTATGAGTCTCTGTAGGTATATGTGGGTCTCTATTAATCTCTGTGGGTCTCTAGGAGTCTCTGTAGGTCTCTATGAGTCTCTGTAGGTCTCTGTGGGTGTCTATGAGTCTCTGTAGGTATATGTGGGTCTCTATTAATCTCTGTGGGTCTCTGAGTCTCTGTAGGTCTCTATGAGCCTCTGTGGGTCTCTGTGGGTCTCTATGAGTCTCTGTAGGTGTCTATGAGTCTCTGTAGGTCTATGTGGGTCTCTATGAGTCTATGTAGGTCTCAATGGGTATCTATGAGTCTCTGTAGGTCTCTGTGGGTCTCTATGAGTCTCTGTAGGTCTCTGAGTCTCTGTAGGTCTGTGAGTCTCTACGAGTCTCTGTGGGACTCTATGATTATCTGTAGGTCTCTGAGTCTCTGTAGATCTCTGTGGGTGTCTATGAGTCTCTGTAGGTCAATGTGGGTCTCTATTAATCTATGTGGGTCTCTATGAGTCTATGTAGGTCTCAATGGGTATCTATGAGTCTCTGTAGGTCTCTGTGGGTCTCTATGAGTCTCTG